TAACTTCAACAATCACTTTGAATCTTTTATCCATTGCTGACAGGAATATAATTGAACCATTGTTTTCACAAAAAAACATTTTAGACTATATGAATATATCCTTTAACTCACTTATAATTAATAATCTACTGTTCAACTAAGAAATAATTACTGTCCTACTGTACAACTATGATAAAATCCTTAGTGTTAAGTAGTCAGTAAGCCAATAATGTTAAGTTGGCCCATAATGCCTAGGCATAATAGAGGCTCTTTTTGCACTGCAACCCACTATTGTAAATATAAAATCTCAATGTACTGTTTGCAAAGACAAAATAAATAAATAAATAAATAAAATAAGTTGTGGGAGTGAGAAGGGGGAGGCGATGCCTACTGAAGCCAGGTTTACCTGGAGTTTACCTGGAGAGGGTTTCGGGGGTCAACGCCCCCACGGCCCGGTCTGAGACCAGGCCTCATGGTGGATCAGGGTCTGATCAACCAGGCTGTAACTGCTGGCCGCACGCAAGCTGACGTATGACCCACAGCCCGGTTGGTCAGGTATTGACTTTAGGTGCCTGTCCAGTGCCTTCTTGAAGACAGCCAGGGGTCTATTGGTAATCCCCCTTATGTATGCTGGGAGGCAGTTGAACAGTCTTGGAAATAACAAAAAAGGCACAATACCGTGACTGGAACGATACACAAATAACCCGCACATAAAAGAGAGAAGCTTACGACGACGTTTCGGTCCGACTTGGACCATTGACAAAGTCACACAGTGTGACTTTGTCAATGGTCCAAGTCGGACCGAAACGTCGTCGTAAGCTTCTCTCTTTTATGCGCGGGTTATTTGTGTATGAACAGTCTTGGGCCTCGGACACTTACTGTGTTGTCTCTCAGTGTACTCGTGGCGTCCCTGCTTTTCATCGGGGGAATGTTGCATCTCCTGCCGAGTCTTTTGCTTTCATATGCAGTGATTTTTCGTGTGTAGGTTTGGTACCTATCCTTCCAGGACCTTCCAAGTGTATATTATCATGCATCTCTCTCGGCTGCTTTCGAGGGAATAGAGATCAAGGACCTTCAACCGGTGCCAAATTTATTATAATTTCTTAATTAGTAAGACTTAATTTGTAATGAAGCCCACAGACTTCATTACAGATTGTAGGCAGCCTGTACTGTCTGCACAGACAGCCTATGTTGTCTGCCAGCTTAGTTCATATTTTGCGCCATTTAAGTGCTGCCTTCTGGGCCAGCCCAAAGTCTGTGGGATGCTGGTCCCACACACACTGACTCACTCAGCGGCCAAGCAGCAAGACAGAAGGCCTACTAGCTCTCTCCCTCGTGAGCATGGCCTTCCCGGCCATGGGCACAACACACAAGCCTGTGTACCCACCACTACATTGCAAATAAAGAAGAAGCCTCTGAAGACATATCATTTACTCCCCGCTACCAGCATCACCTATTAATCACGTTCACATTGGTAGCAGCGGTGGTTGCAGCAGTTGTGTTTGCCCGGAGAGAAGAGGTATGAAGTTATCTTCACTTTATCACCCTATACAAGAAGCATCCGTCTCTCAACGAGTTATCCTGATGTCGTGTCTGCACGTTTGAGCATCCAGACACAGGTACAAGCAGGATCTAGCCGAAATTTGCCTAATTTCTTCGAGAATTGTAAGTGGTGTCCCAATGACCCCACGCTACAGCATCCCACGCTGTTTCTCAAGTCACGTATTCAGCATCACTTGCATGTTCTGCTGCTGTTGTTCAGCTCAGCACAGCTATTTCAGCAAGCCAGAGGTGAGTTTTGCGGTGATTTCTGCATCCTGTGTGCGTTTCGCCATGTTGTGGGTTTGAGAGGAGGAAGTGGCCAGATGCTCCCTCGCCATACACTCACCCACGCTCCTCGCCACCACACTACCATACACCACCATGCCATTACTCCCTCTGCTGTGTTTTCTGCTGTTTTTCATGTGAATTCTTTGCCAGTGCTGTGTATCCGAGTGCCCGAGGCCACTCGAAGCCATGTGGATCAGCAAGCCATGTAGATCAGCAAGCCACGTGGATCAGCAAGCCATGTGGATCAGCAAGCCACGTGGATCAGCAAGCCATGTAGATCAGCAAGCCACATGGATCAGCAAGCCACATGGATCAGCATGCCATGTACATCAGCAAGCCACATGGATCAGCAAGCCATGTGGATCAGCAAGCCACGTGGATCAGCATGCCACGTAGATCCCAACGCCACGTGGGGTGTGGGCGATGTCACGTGGATCTACAAGCCACTTGGGCTACCAAGCCAGATGTCCCAGGCCTCATGTTGTGGGCTGCTGCCCGCATCACATTGACATCACCGATGCTGCTGCCCGACTTCATGACATCACAATGATTGCCTGATGTCACCTCGAGACGTCTGCTGACGTCACCTCGAGATGTCTGTTGATGTCACAATGCTGCTGACGTCACTTCACGACGTCACGCCTGACATCACATGATGTCACATCGAGTGTTCTAGCAATTATTTCAGTATTGTCGAGAAGATTGAGAGAAGATATATGTCGTGTGTTAATTAATTCCTCTCAGTCAGTTTCCTCACATGTTAGTGTATGGCTTAGTGTCAGTTTTGTGCACAGAAAAGCATCTTTTGCTAATTTAAGCCATGTTGTACCGCATGTACTGCGGGTGTGTGTAAAGTTTTCCATGTGTGCAGTGTGGTCTTGAGCCAGACCCCTGAGTAGCACCACTGTGTTAAGTCACCCGGTGTGACCAGCATGTTTGACAGCTGATATCAGTCAGCTCTGAGCGTTTGAGCCCCTTTGTACAGAAAGCTCTTATGCTCGTCGCTCAGTGACATTCTGCAGAATCGTATGCTAAGATTCCAATCGAGATTTGTTTCACTTCACCTCCAGACCTTCAGAATGCAGTTATATGTAGAGAAACAAGATTGGGGATGCTTAGACTAACCTCTGCTATAACTCCAACTGCTGAGAGAATGACACTCGTCAAGTTGCAGTTAGCCCTGTCGGCAGGCACTGTGTCAGCCTCGTGTCACAAGCTTCAGTGAGCAGCCTGCACAAAGAAGATGTCACTTTGACTGCTAGCTTGCTCACTGCAGTCTGGTGTATGATGTTACGACTCCCAGATGTTTCGCCCAGTCGTCTCTGCCACGACTCGCTCCACGCTCGCCGGCAGTGACAGCCCAGCGACAGTACCAGTCGAGAAGTGTCCTCCTGAGTCGCTTGCCAGAAGTCCTGCCCAGTTGCCGAGTTTTGACGACGCCTCACTCGAGGGCACCAGCATGTCGTGCCCCAGATTGAGTGAAAACCTTTAGCGACTCCTACGATGACTGCTTCACCGTTGTAGAGGAGACCGTAACCTGTTACGTCACAGCTCAGCCGCAGCGATGTCTCCTGTGTTGCAGTATCTGTCCAGACTCAGGAAGGCATGCAGTGATGCCCATCGACGCTCACTGCCTATGACCACGATGTTTAGCACACCCCACATGGTTTTTTTTCTTCCCTCCCTGTAGGAAGTTTTTTTTTTCCATGTCCATATGTATATACATGTTTTTATTTTGTGCTCTGTGCCCTGTTCCTACGAGAGAGAGACCGAGTTTTTTTTACCGCCAGACATGGTCGCGACGACCATGTGGCAGGTGGCCGAGCGTATGTAGACAGCCTGTACTGTCTGCACAGACAGCCTATGCTGTCTGCCAGCTTAGTTCATATTTCGCACCATTTAAGTGCTGCCTTCTGGGCCAGTCCAAAGTCTGTGGGATGCTGGTCCCACATGCTGTCACTCACTCAGCAGCCAAGCAGCAAGACAGAAGGCCTACTAGCTCTCTCCCTCGTGAGCATGGCCTTCCCGGCCATGGGCACAACACACAAGCCTGTGTACCCACCACGACATTACAAATAAAGTAAAGAAGCCTCCGAAGACGTTTATCATTGAACCCCGCTCTGCACCAGCATCACCTATTAATCGCGTTAACAAGATTAATGAAGTATTACTTATAAGTATTTAAGCTAAGTTAAGAGTTAGACAGATTTAGATTAGCTTAGTTTCTACACACGTGTCCTACACAATAAAATGTCCTGGGTACTCCTTTTCCTGCCAAGAGTGCCCATGGAGTACTGCAGCCCGACTGTCCTTAGTCACAAAAAAAAAAAAGTGAGCTGCGGGCGACTTACCCGTGCAGCGGGCCTTGTATAAAGGTTATATCTCGCTATGGTAAGAGACAGCTGCAGGCAACTGCAGCTATCACGTCACACTGCCCAATATCAGAATCGAGGTACGTAGAATTAATTCAGGTAACCAGGAATGAGGTGGCAGGTCCTGGACTGAATTTCACAATTGACTTGAGAAGGATCACTAACCTAACTAGTCATAAACCCACAGACAACCTCTGTTCTACACAATAAACATTCTCAGACACACTAATATAAATACTCAGACACACTGCTATAAATATTCAGACACAGCTATAAACATTCTCAGACACAAAACTAAAAATATACTCTGACACAGCTATAATCATATTTAGACACAGGTATAAACATTCTCAGACACAGTTATAATCATACTCAGATACACTGTCATAATCATAGTCAGATACACAACTATAATCATACTCAGACACAGCTATAATCATGCTCAGACACACAGCTATAATCACACTCAGATACACAACTATAGTCATACTCAGACACACAGCTATAATCATACTCAGACACACTGTTATATTCACATTCAGACACAGCTATAATGATATTCAGACACAGCTATAATGATACCCAGACACATCTATAATGATACCCAGACACAGCTATAATCATTCTCAGATACACTGCTATAATCATACTCAGACACACTGCTATAATCATAGACACACAGCTATAATCATTCTCAGACACACTGCTATAATCATACTCAGACACAGCTATAATCATCCTCAGACACACAGCTATAATCGTCCTCAGACACACACCTATAATCATACAACTAAACCGTGAACACAAGATAATACATACGTGGGTGAGACGTATCAGCCAGATGAGCGAAGCAGAGCATCAGGAGACCATGAGTGCCGCCGCTGAGAGAATACATGACTGACCCCAGAAGTGTGGTCTCCATGGACCAGCGCGGAGACAGGGCACAGACCAGGTATACAGCGGACTCCCCCAGGAGGCAGGTTATGGAGAAGATGAGGGGTACTCGACGACCCCAGCGGTCACTCCACGACCCCAGCACCAGCACCCACACCACCTGAGAAAAAAGACGTGTCCAGACGCAGATGTTCTATAACCAGGTTAAAATATTTAATAAAGATAAGATACAATATTAAGACATTCCCAACATAATGTTTTAAAATATTCAGAAAAAAAAGCGACGATAAAAAACACTGAAGATAATATTAAAGTAGAATAATGCCAGCATTGAACAAAGCTGTGTAGATAAAGAGACTAAATTAAAACAAAAAACAAAAGAGTTGATTAGATAAGTCATTGAAACAGACTGACAAGAACACAAATTACGTATATCCAGTGCATATATATATATATATATATATTATATATATATATATATAATATATATATATATATATATAAATATATAATATAAAATTTAAATATATATATAATATATATAAATATTAATATATAAATATATAATAAAATATGTCTCGTCGGCAAATAGGCAAACTTGCGATTTGGGCTTAAATACAACGCCATTTCCCATATAGGAAAGCGAAAATTTGTGTATGCAAAAATTTTCGCCAAAACATTCTGAACCTAACAAAAAAAAATTTAATTTCACTGTGTTTGTTTAGTTTTAAAATTATTGTAAACAAATCAAAAATATATTTAGTTGGTTAGGCTAAAATAAATTGTTTTGTTATAAAAAGGTTAGGTAATTTTTTCTAAAATTTTTTTGGGTGAAAAAATTAAAAATTTTTTTACATCAACTTTAATAAAAAAAATAATCTTTAAACGTATAAAGAAAAATTTTAAAAAGGACTTAATTTTAAAGAGTTCTTGTAATTTACCATTTTACATATTCGGCACGACATATATATATTTATATATATATATAAAATATATTATATATATAATATATTATATTATTAAATTATATATATATATATTTTTATATAATAATATATAAATATAAATATTAAATATAAATAATATATATATATAAAAATTATATTATTTTTATTATCAACTGGCCCATTCCCACCAAGGCAGGGTGGGCCCAAAAAAAAAAACTTTTTACCATCTTCACTCCATCACGTCTTGCAGAAGGGTGCTTTACACACAGTTTTTTAAAACCAAAATTTAAACACCCCCCCCTTCAAGGGAGGACTGAAATTTTCCCTCTCCAGGACTCAATCGGCCTGCCGGTTTCCCGAATCCCTTCATAAATGTTACTTTTTTTTACACTCCAACAGCACGCCAAATATTAAAAAACCCTTTTTCCCATTTACTCCAAACAAACACGCTCATGCTGCCCGCGGAAGTCCAAGCCCCTCGCAACAAAACCCCCTTTACCCCTCCCCCCCAACCTTTCCTAGGCCGACCCCACCCCCCCCTTTCCTTTCCCCCAGACTGATACACTCTTTTAAGTCATTCTGTTTCGCTCCATTCCTCTACAGTCCGAACCCCTCAACAACCCTTCCTCGCCCTCTGGACAACAGTTTTTGGGAATCCCGCACCTCCTCCTAACTTCCAAACTACGAATTCTCTGCATTATATTCACACCACACATTGCCCTCAGACACGACATCTCCACTGCCTCCAGCCTTCTCCTCGCTGCAACAATTCATCACCCACGCTTCACACCCATATAAGAGCGTTGGTAAAACTATACTCTCATACATTCCCCTCTTTGCCTCCAAGGACAAAGTTCTTTGTCTCCACAGACTCCTAAGTGCACCACTCACTCTTTTTCCCTCATCAATTCTATGATTCACCTCATCTTTCATAGACCCATCCGCTGACACGTCCACTCCCAAATATCTGAATACGTTCACCTCCTCCATACTCTCTCCCTCCAATCTGATATTCAATCTTTCATCACCTAATCTTTTTGTTATCCTCATAACCTTACTCTTTCCTGTATTAACCTTTAATTTTCTTCTTTTGCACACCCTACCAAATTCATCCACCAATCTCTGCAACTTCTCTTCAGAATCTCCCAAGAGCACAGTGTCATCAGCAAAGAGCAGCTGTGACAACTCCCACTTTGTGTGTGATTCTTTATCTTTTAACTCCACGCCTCTTGCCAAGACCCTCGCATTTACTTCTCTTACAACCCCATCTATAAATATATTAAACAACCACGGTGACATCACACATCCTTGTCTAAGGCCTACTTTTACTGGGAAAAAATTTCCCTCTTTCCTACATACTCTAACTTGAGCCTCACTATCCTAGTAAAAACTCTTCACTGCTTTCAGTAACCTACCTCCTACACCATACATTTGCAACATCTGCCACATTGCCCCCCTATCTACCCTGTCATACGCCTTTTCCAAATCCATAAATGCCACAAAGACCTCTTTAGCCTTATCTAAATACTGTTCACTTATATGTTTCACTGTAAACACCTGGTCCACACACCCCCTACCTTTCCCAAAGCCTCCTTGTTTACTGCTATCCATTCCCCCCGTCCTACCTTAATTTTTTTCAATTACAACTCTACCCTACACTTTTCCGGTACCTCAACAACTTTCCCCCCAAAATTTTTTTACTCTCTTTACCCCCCTTTCCTTTATACAAAGGAAAATAGCATCTCTCTGCCAAACCCCAGGTACCTTACCCTTCCATACATTTTTTTAAATATTGCACCAAACCCCCCAAAAAAATCCCCACCCGCTTTTAAAATTTCTATCTTTATCCATCAATCCCGGGTGCCTTTCCCCTTTCATTTTACCACTGCCCCACGAACTTCCCCCCACCACAACTGGCTCTTCCTCACTCCTACAAGATGTTATTCCTCCTTGCCCTATACACGAAATCACAGCTTCCCTGTCTTCATCAACATTTAACAATTCCTCAAAATATTCCCTCCATCTTCCCAATACCTCTAACTCTCCATTTAATAACTCTCCTCTCCTATTTTTAACTGACAAATCCATTTGTTCTCTAGGCTTTCTTAACTTGTTAATCTCACTCCAAAACTTTTCTTATTTTCAACAAAATTTGTTGATAACATCTCACCCACTCTCTCATTTGCTCTCTTTTTACATTGCTTCACCACTCTCTTAACCTCTCTCTTTTTCTCCATATACTCTTCCCTCCTTGCATCACTTCTACTTTGTAAAAACTTCTCATATGCTAACTTTTTCTCCCTTACTACTCTCTTTACATCATCATTCCACCAATCGCTCCTCTTCCTCCTGCACCCACTTTCCTGTAACCACAAACTTCTGCTGAACACTCTAACACTACATTTTTAAACCTACCCCATACCTCTTCGACCCCATTGCCTATGCTCTCATTAGCCCATCTATCCTCCAATAGCTGTTTATATCTTACCCTAACTGCCTCCTCTTTTAGTTTATAAACCTTCACCTCTCTCTTCCCTGATGCTTCTATTATCCTTGTATCCCATCTACCTTTTACTCTCAGTGTAGCTACAACTAGAAAGTGATCTGATATATCTGTGGCCCCTCTATAAACATGTACATCCTGAAGTCTACTTAACAGTCTTTTATCTACCAATGCATAATCCAACAAACTACTGTCATTTCGCCCTACATCATATCTTGTATACTTATTTATCCTCTTTTTCTTAAAATATGTATTACCTATAACTAAACCCCTTTCTATACAAAGTTCAATCAAAGGGCTCCCATTATCATTTACACCTGGCACCCCAAACTTACCTACCACACCCTCTCTAAAAGTTTCTCCTACTTTAGCATTCAGATCCCCTACCACAATTACTCTCTCACTTGGTTCAAAGGCTCCTATACATTCACTTAACATCTCCCAAAATCTTTCTCTCTCCTCTGCATTCCTCTCTTCTCCAGGTGCATACACGCTTATTATGACCCACTTCTCGCATCCAACCTTTACTTTAATCCACATAATTCTTGAATTTACACATTCATATTCTCTTTTCTCCTTCCATAACTGATCATTTAACATTACTGCTACCCCTTCCTTTGCTCTAACTCTCTCAGATACTCCAGATTTAATCCCATTTATTTCCCCCCACTGAAACTCTCCTACCCCCTTCAGCTTTGTTTCGCTTAGAGCCAGGACATCCAACTTCTTTTCATTCATAACATCAACAATCATCTGTTTCTTGTCATCCGCACTACATCCACGCACATTTAAGCATCCCAGTTTTATAAAGTTTTTCTTCTTCTCTTTTTTAGTAAATGTATACAGGAGAAGGGGTTACTAGCCCATTGCTCCCGGCATTTTAGTCGCCTCATACGACACGCATGGCTTACGGAGGAAAGATTCTTTTCCACTTCCCCATGGACAATAGAAGAAATAAAAAAAAGAACAAGAGCTATTTAGAAAAAAGGAGAAAAACCTAGATGTATGTATATATATATGCATGTGCGTGTTTGTGAAGTGGGACCAAAGTGAAAGTAGGAGTAGAAAGATATCCCTGTTTTCTAGGGTTTTGAGACAGAAAAAAAAAACCCAGCAATCCCATCATGCAAAACGTTACAGGTTTTTGTTTCACAGTCATCGGAGGACGGTAGTACTTCCCTGGGTGGTGCTGTCTCCCAAACCTATCCTATAAAAATATATTTATATATATATATTATATATATAAATATATAAAAAATATTTTTTATTAATATATAATTTATATTAAAAATTTATATATATTATATTTTATATAATTTATAAATTAAATTTTAAAAAAAATTTTAAATTATATTATTTTTTTATTATATATATATAATTATTAATATATATATTATATAATATATATATATATTTTTTTAATGTTTATTAGAAATTTAAAATATCCTTGACTGGTGGCGTATAAGTTACATGCAGACTTAAACTTGGTAGTCAATTTTTTAAACCCTTTTAAATACCCAGCGGTGACATCATGGGTCATCGGCACACTCTTATCGTGTGTAGGGGATAAATCTTTATAAAAATTTTGGTTTGGGCCACAAGTAGTTCACCATCCCACCTTTGTCTGGGCGGGAAATTCCCTATTCATGGCCCTTTTCCAAAAGGACTATCGTATCGTTCCCCGGCCCGGGAAAATTTCCCCCTGCTGTCCCCAGCAGGGAAAAAACTATCGCATTCTACACTTGGCCAGGGGAATTTTCCCCCCCACATCGGCCCAGGGTGACTAAGCACCCTACCCCCTTTAGGGGAATCTGGCCTCCTTCAAGGGAACTCCTCGTTCATGCTAACAGGGGATAGAAGTTACTGCGTCGGGGGTAAAAGCTCTCTGTGTCCCAGCTCAAAGGACCAGACTCGACCTTTGCATCACAGCCCTACTATGTGAAAAGTCGTGTAATTTTGTGTTCTGAACAAACAAGGAAGAGGAAAGAGAGAGAGAGAAAGAAAGAGAGATAGAGAGAGAGAAGAGAGAGAGGAAAAGGGGGAGAAGGGAGAAGAGGAGAGAGAGGAGAGAGAGAGAAGAAAAGAGAGAGGGGAGAGAGGAGGGGAAAGGGGAGAAGAGAGGAGACAGAAGAGAGACAAGAGAAGGGAGACAGAGAGCAACAGCAGCAGACAAGAGAGAGAGCAGACAGAGAAGAGAGAGAGAGGACGAGAGACAGACAGACAGCAGACAGAGAGAGAGAAGAGAAGAGAGAGAGAGAGAAAAGGGGAGAGAGAGGGGGGAGAAGGGGGGAGAGAGAGAGAGAGAAGAGAGAGGGGGACAGACAGACAGAGAGAAGAGAACAGACGACGACAGACAAGAGAGGAAAGAGACGACAGACAGAGGAGAGACGAGAGAAGAGAGAGAGGAGGGAAAACACATCCTGGATTTCCGTCTCGAAAATGGTCTATACATGAGGGGAAAATTGAAAAAGGTCCTGGCAGCCCCTGGGACTGTCTAGTCCTTCAATTCCGCAGCCCATCCCAACCCCCAAATTGACCTGCACGCCCCCGATGCGGGTTGCCCCGACATAGATTATTATTATTGTTTTTATTATATTTTTTTTTTATTATTTTTATTTTATTATTATTATTATTTTTATTATTTTTTTGTTGTTGTTTTTTGTTGTGTTGTTTTTTGTTTTGTTGGAAAAAAATAATGAAAAATGTTTTATGCAACAAAAGAGTGCACCCTTTCAAACTTTTTCAACCTAGGTCCTGTGAGGATAAGTGGGGCACCTGAGAACACATTATGCATGAACAACACAGGTTCTACTGACACGTGTCCCGCCCACACGCCCCCCACGCCCACACCTCCCCTTTTCCCTCCCACACCGCTCTGGGCCCAAATTTGTCTTCGGTTTGAGGCTGGTCCAGGGAAATATGTCTTGCCCCGGAGTGCATTGACTCAGAGGGTGCGGTTTGTTGCTTCTGGGGAGTATAAACAGGGTTAAAAAAGTGTTTTAAGCTTAAATAAAATAAAAAATAATTATTATAATATATATTATATAATATATTATATAATAATTAAAAATTTAAATATTTATATAAAACACGATCTCTGGTGAAGGAGACTGGAAACCCACAAACCTTGGACAAGGGACGCAGTGCTTTTCCAATTACCCACCTGGGCCCCAAAACCTGGAGTCCAGCTTGCGTAGACTTTGATCCAAGGCGCCCCGCTTTCAGGGAAAGGCTTACAGCTTTTCATCTCATCCCTGCATGCATCCCTTACTAAAAATTAAAATGCAAAGAATTCGCAAAAGAGGCGAAAAATACCAAACACTGATCCTTTGGGTGAAGGGGCTCGAACCACGAACCCTTTGGAACGGGGGCGCAGTGCTTTTCATATTTTACCCACATGGACAAAAACCTTGGAGTCCATTTCGCTAGATTTGATCCAAGGCAGCCAGCTTTCAGGGAGAAGGCTTACAGCTTTTCATCTCATCCCCTGCATACATCAGCCTTACTAGAGATATTAACAATGCAGCCAAGGCAGCCAGCTTCCAAGCTGGCTGCCTTTGATCAAAGTCTAGCGCAAGCTGGACTCCAAGGTATTGGTCCAGTTTTGGTAGATTGGTAAAGCACTGCATGCCTTGTTCCAAGGTTCGTAGGTTCGAGTCTCCTTCAGCCAGAGATCAGTGTTTGTGTATATTTCGCCTGCTCTTGCGAATTCCTTATATATATATTATATATATATATATATATATATATATATATATATATATATATATATATATATTATATATATAATATATATATATATATATATATATAATATATATATATTGTTTGCATAATGAGCAATCTTGTGATTTTGTATAGCATTGTTGTTTAATTAAGGTTGTGTACAATAGACTCTACTAGATAGCTATCGAGCTTGTATAACCCATAATTTGAGTTATTATATACGTTATTCCTGACATGTTTCAGAGAGAATATTCAATTTATGTTTCTTTCTATGACAAAACTGTTGGTACAATAATTTGGGTAGCATATATAAATATATATATATATATATATATATATTTATATATATATATATATATATATATATATATATATATATATATATAATATATATATATATATATATATATATATATATATACATAATAGGCACACCTGTACATCTGCTCGTTAATCCAAATTACTAATCAGTCAATCACTTGGAAGCATCTTAATGCTCATAAGCAGGCAGACATGGTCAGGAGCTTCAGCATTTCAGATCGAGCATTAGAATGGGGAAGAAATGTGATCTAAGTAACTGATCTGGGTTTTCACGCACAACAGGCTCTAGAGTTTACAGGCAATGGGGTCGATAAAAGGATCAATTAAATCCACGCTTGGCACCAGCTATCCCATTCCTATCTTAAACGTGGCAGCTTTTTTATATCGAGGGGTGTACTAGTAAGTGTCTTGAACACTGGCTATTTACCGATATGATGTCCTTGATGACACTTGGTCAGTTATCAGGTAGAGTAGTCCAGAACATTTAGACACTGAATGGAGCGTGGACCAGCTCGGGGACTGACTCCCATTAACTTTAATACCAGCACCACTGTACTGAGCTTGGTCCCTGCCTACCTTGCACAAGATAATAGACTGCAGTATACTTAGTGAATAAGGCGAGGAAATGTACTTACATGCCTCTCAGGTCTTGTCTACCTGGGGACTCAGAGTGGCACTTAGGGGCTTCAGCACAAAACAAACGTTAACTTCTACTTTAAATGATGAGTGGTCGTCGTATCTGTATGTCACCCAGACAATATAAGTGGCACTTAGCTTAATCGACGCCCGAGCATCATCCACGAGGTCACTGCTCACTCCTCTGATTACGGACTCCAGCTTAGAAGTTCAGAGATCCAGGAAATCAGTTAACTTTTAACTAGATGTTGGAATGTACTTCAAATAACAGGTAGGGGGTTTAGGCCCCTGGCCTGTCGCTCCTGTGCAGGACACCTAGCTGGTCTTGGTTCGAAAAGCACTGTCACTTCCTGGCATTCAGACACTCGGCTATGCATGAGTGGCAGCCCTTGCACCTAGGTTGCCAATGTTGGCAATAAAGATAGCTAATTAAGTGCTCTTGACATGTGTGAACGTTAGTCTCTATGTCAATCATAAATTCAAGCTTCTGAGCTCTAGTGAGACATGGACCTCATCATTAATACTGAGCCATTGAAAATTTAGACATAACAAGATGGTAAGAAATGGCATTTAATGACCCCCTCCTCTTTCTCTCCCCATTGTGACCTTGAGGTCACATAGTCGCTCGAGGGTTGGGGGTGGTAGGTAGGAAAGGCGGGTGGAATAGATTCCATCACAAATGGTGAGAAAAGCAAAAAGCATCTAGTCAGCGGCAGTTCTTAGGACGAAAACACGATGTTAGTGAGAGGTCAGAGAAGACTGTCCAGACAAGTAAGAGTTGACAGGAAGGCGAAAGTAACTCAGATGCAGAAGAGAATATCTGAGTGCACAACACGTCGAACCCTGAAGTGGATGGGTTCCAGCATCAAAAGACAACACTGGATTCCACTCCAGTGAAGTAAGAACAGGAAACTGAGGTTTCATTTGGCACTGGCTCACTAAAACTGGACATTTGAAGACTGGAAAAACATTGTCAGGTCTGACGAATATTGATTTCTGCCGTGACATGCTGTAGACAGCCTGTACTGTCTGCACAGACAGCCTATGCTGTCTGCCAGCTTAGTTCATATTTTGCAGCACTCAGGTGCTGCCCTCTCCAGGCCTACCCAGGTCAGTGGGATGCTGGTCCCACTCTCACTCACTCAGCGGCCTAGAAGCAGACAGCAGTCTACTCCCTCTCTCCCTCGTGGGAGGCCTCCTGGGCCATGGGCACTCAACACACAAGCCTGTGTACCCACCACGACTTTGCAAATAAAGTAAGAAGCCTCCGAAGATGTATCATTTACTCCCCGCTACCAGCTCACCAAATAATCTCATTAAACATTGGTGGACAGCGGTGGTCGCAGCAGTTGTGTTTGCCCGGAGAGAAGAGGTATGAAGTCATCTTCACTTTATCACCCTATACAAGAAGCATCCATCTTTCAACAAGTTATCTTGATGTCGAGTCTGCACGTTTCAGCATCCAGACACAGGTACAAGCAGGATCTAGCCGAAATTTGCCGAATTTCTTCGAGATTTGTAAGTGGCGTCCCAGTGACCCCACGCTACAGTGTCCCACCCTGTTCCTCAAGTCAAGTGTTCAGCATCACTTGTATGTTCTGCTGTTGTTGTTCAGCTCAGCACAGCTATTTCAGCAAGCCAGAGGTGAGTTCTGTGGTCATTTCTGCGTCTAGTGTGAGTTTCTCCATGTGTTTGTGGAGAGAAGAGGAGGAAGTGGCCATACCTTGCCTCACCCACGCTCGCCCTGCTGTCCACTCACATCTCACCAGCCTACCATACACCATCATGCCATCACTTCCTCTGCTGTGTTCTCTGCTGTTTTTCGTGTGAATTCATTGCCAGAGCTGTGTATCTGAGTGCCCGAGGCCACTCGAAGCCACATGGATCAGCAAGCCACGTGGATCAGCAAGCCACGTGGATCAGCAAGCCACATGGATCGGCAAGCCATGTGGATCAGCAAGCCATGTAGATCACGATGCCACGTGGATCCCAACGCCACATGGGGTGTGGACGAAGCCATGTGGATCTACGAGCCACGGGAGTTACAGGTGCTGCTGCCCGACGTCATGATGTCTGCCTGACGTCACCTCGAGATGTCTGCTGATGTCACAGTGCTGCTGACCCCACCTCACAATATCATGCCTGACATCACATGATGTCACATCGAGTGTTTCAATAATTATGTCAGTATTGTCGAGAAGATTGAGAGAAGATATACATCCTGTATTAGTTAATTCCTCTCAGTCAGTGTTCTCACATGTTCGTGCATAGCTTAGTGTCAATTTTGTGCACAGAAAAGCATCATTTGCTAGTTTAAGCCATGTTGTACCACATGTACAGTGGGTGTGTGTAAAGTTTTCCATGTGTCCTGTGTGGTCTTGAGCCCAGCTGTTTGTTGACCACAGGTCTGCGACCAGACCCCTGTGTAGCACTTTGTTGCCTGTCACCCGGTGTGACCAGTGCATCTGACAGCTGATATTAGTCATCCCAGAGCATATGAGCCCCTTTGCACAGAAAGCTCTTATGTTCGTCGCTCATAGATGTTCTGCAAAATCGTACATGCTACAATTCCCATTGAGATTTGTTTCACTTCACCTCCAGACCTTCAGAGTGCAGTTATATGTAGAGAAACAAGTCTGGTGATGCTTAGACTAACCTCTGCTATAACTCCAACTGCCAAGAGAATGACACTCGTCAAGCCACAGTTAGCCCTGTTGGCATGCACTGTGTCAGCCTCATGTCACAAGCTTCATTGAGCAGCCTGCACAAAGAAGATGTCACTTTGACTGCTAGCTCGCTCACTGAAGTCTGGTGTATGATGTTACAACTCCCAGATGTTTCGCCCAGTCATCTCTGCCACGACTTGCTCCACGACTTACTCCACGCTCGCCAGGAGTGACAGCCCCAGCGACAGTACCAGTTGAGAAGTGTCCTCCTGAGTCGCTTGCCAGAAGTCCTGCCCAGTTGCCGAGTTTTGTCGACGCCTCACTCGAGGGCACCAGCAGGCTGTGCCCCAGGTTGAGTGAAACCTACAGCAACTCCTACGATGACTGCTTCACCGTTGTAGAGGAGACCGTACCCTGTTACGTCACAGCTCAGCGGGAGCGATGTCTCCTGTGTTGCAGTATCTGTCCAGACACAGGAAGGCATGCAGTGATGCCCATCGATGCTCACTGCCTATGACCACGATGTTTAGCACACCCCGCATGTTTTTTTTCTTCCCTCCCTGTAGGAAGTTTTTTCCATGTCCATATGTATATATATAATTTTATTTTGTGTTCTGTGCCCTGTTCCTAAGAGAGAGAGAGACCGAGTTTTTTTATCACCAGTACTGTTGCGTGGAGATGACACGAGGTATGTAGCCGAGCAAATGTAGACAGCCTGTACTGTCTGCACAGACAGCCTATGCTGTCTGCCAACTTAGTTCATATTTCGTGGCACTCAGGTGCTGCCCTCTCCAGGCCTACCCAGGTCAGTGGGATGCTGGTCCCACTCTCACTCACTCAGCGACCTAAAAGCAGACAACAGTCTGCTCCCTCTCTCCCTTGTGGGATGGCCTCCCGGGCCATGGACACTCAACACACAAGCCTGTGTACCCACCAAGACTTTTCAGATAAAGTAAGAAGCCTCCGACAATGTATCATTTACTCCCTGCTACCAGCTCACCAAATAATCTCATTAAACAATGCATATGGTAGGGTTAGAATTTGGCATAAATTTTTGAGATGTGTTAGAAAGAGAGAATCGCAGCATGAATGTGCAGCCAACAAATGAGAAGTAATTAAGACACATGTGCAACATCTGGGTATCTTTATTGTAGACGTTTCGCCATCCAGTGGCTTTATCAATACAAATTCCAGGACATAACTAGAAGACAGTAGAACTATGTACGGAAGATATTCCACCCAGGTGGGGTGGCCCAGAAGAAAAACGAAAGTTCCTCCTTTTACATTTAATAATATATACTGGAGAAGGGGTTACTAGCCCCTTGTTCCTGGCATTTTAGTCGCCTCTTACGACACGCATGGCTTACGGAGGTAGAATTCTATTCCACTTCCCCATGGAGGAGAGAATATGCGATCTTGATGCCCATGATGCTCTGTATCTCCTCACAAGGTGTCTTACTATGTCAAGACTCACTTACTTCCTGAGGTGTGCACCCTCTTTTGACAACCCAACACTCGACGAATATGACGCACACCTCAGATCAACTTTTAAGAAGGCCCTGAACCTGTCACTAGAGGATCAGCAATGGGATCAGGCAACCCTCCCAGTGCGACTGGAAGGTATAGGGGTGCGCAAAGCCAGCTTTACCTGCTTTTCTGTCTTCGTGTTTGGCTTCCAGTCAAGAAGATTGTTCCCGAACGCTTGAGAGACATGGTAGGAGCTCAAGACCCCAGGTTTACTGAAGCAGCGATGTGGTGGGACACCCTTGCAGACTCCTCCAGTAAACCAGCTCCTCCCAAAGAGCACAAACAGTCACACTGGGACAAACCGATCATGGAAAAAATCGCCAATACAATGCTCACCAACACTTCAGGAAAGGACAAAGCTCGTCTCCTGGCGGTGAAGGCACCACACTCAGGAGATTTCCTTCTAGTTGTTCCCAATTCCTCCCTGGGCACTCGACTCGACCCACAGGCCATTCAGATTAGTGTTGCTCTTCGCCTAGCCGCCCCCATCCTCACCGAATATATGTGTATTTGCGGCAGGGCAACGGTTGATCAATTCGGACTTCATGGTCTCGTGTGTCACACATCAGAAGGGAAGTATGCCAGACATGAGGCGGTCAACGATATCATAAAGAGAAGCCTCGCCACAGCCCATTGCCCAGCTCAACGGGAACCCCAGGTGCAGAGGTCTGATGGAAGTCAAAAGCGTCCTGATGGAGCCACTATGCTACCCTGGAAGGATGGAAAGCAGATTGCCTGGGACTACACCTGTGTCACCACATTGGCAGAAACTTGCTTGCCATACTCCACAGCTGAAGGGGGTGGAGCTGCCAGTCACAGGGAGACCCAGAAGATCCGCAAATATGAAGACCTTCCCCATTGCTATAACTTCATCCCAATAGGGTTGGAGACCCTTGGAACATGGGGCAAGTGTGCTCTAAAGTTCCTCAAAGAGCTGGGTGAAAAACTCATCATAGAAACCAAGGACCACAGAGCGACCAGCTTCCTCTTTCAGAGACTCAGTGTCGC